AAGAACGTTCCTCCCCGGTGCTCAATCTACGACTGCACGAGTGCTTCGCGACGCGTCGGTCTGTTGTGTCCGTTCAAATAAAGCGAGGTACTTTTTTTCCTCGGCGAAATCAGCAAATTTAGTATTATTTGTCTTAACTCCCATCTGACTACTGAGATCCAGGACTGATTCCATACTAATCTTGCTTCCTTCTTCCCTCAGGATCAAGTTATCGTCGACCCATCGAAATATCTTCGGGATGCCTAACGCCTTGACCATAATCTCCTTCCACACATCGGCCGCTCTCCCAAACGTGCCACATCCAGCTACGCCGCCGAAGCCAACCCGTGTGTCCACCCAGAGCAAACCTTTGAAGTCCAGAATAAGTAAGAAACGCCACTGGGAAGGGTGTGTAGGAATCTGCCTATACGCCTTTTCCCAGTCAAAGATAGCTAACTCCCACTTCACATTGCTATTTTTCAGGAAATTCGCCAGCTCGTGAAAGTCGTCCCATGTCGTTTCGAATTCGTGCTTATCCACGAACGAATTCACCGATGGGATTGAGTCGTCCATCTTTGGGTGTGACAGGTTATTTGTCATTCAGTGGCTTCCATCATTGTTCACTACACTCCCCATTGGATTCGACCTAAAGAATCCGTACTTTTCTCTGACTTCTCGGTGAGTGAAGGGCCCGAAGAGCTTCTTTTCTAATTTCTCCTTCTTCATGTTCCTTTCTATCTTGTCACGAACTAAGTTTGCTGACTCTTGGTTTTCAGGCGTATACCACGGCCAGTCTAAAATTGAGTGATCCGGTATCCCCTGGTGGAATCCGGTTTCAAGGCTCTCAAGGACGTCCTTCCATTCTCCCATCAGGTCAAACTCGGTCATTAACGCTCGCCAAATCGGTATGTTAAGCTCACAGACCACTTTGTTTGGCCACCTGGGGTCATTGTCAACTCTCCTCATCAGTTCATCGTTTGCTCGCAAGACTTTCACGGCTTTCTTACTTCGCGGATAAACGGGAGGGAGGGAAAAGGCATTGGGGCAAGTAACACTGTTGCGTACAGGATCTCGTCAGTTCTAGACTCAAAAACCCCGACAACTTCAAATTTCATCTTTGGGGCATCTCTCTGGATTACAATTTGGTACGTAGACCTATCCTTCCCCTTTGTTTCAGATTTACTCACTTCTTGTTTTGCCTGTCTCCGTATCCGTTGTCTCTCCCTTTCCTACCCCCATTCCCTGCACCATTATTCCAACCACTACCAGCTGCACCCCCCATCCCAACTCCATTACTCGTTCCTGCATTGTCCCATTCCTTACGCTTGTTGAAATTCTTGATGAAGTTCTTACCTCTGTACGTATTGCCACCGGGGTTGCTGTTGGTCGACATCGCTGCTGGGCCGGTCGGTATTGACGGGGCGTATGTCGTCTGGGTGACTGGTGTTTGCTGTGTTGCCGGTAAGTGGGGTTCGTGCCTCGATTGAGCCCACAGCGTAGATCGAACTGACTGCGTGTTCCTGGTAATCTCTACCTTCTCCGACTTGTCTTCTCTCGTGTCGCCTCTAGCTGCGTCATCCCACGTCAATTTCCTGCCTTCCCAGCTCACCCCGTCGACTGGGTCTATCATCGCCTTCACTGCCCCAAAGGCGTACGGGTTATCAGTGTAAGCGTCTTCACCTCTCCTTGACGTCTCTCTTTCAGCTCTTTTCTCCAACTTCTTGTCTCTAATTCCGATATCCGGCATCTTTCCTTCAGGTCCGACCTTGAATGTCATGTACGCCT